TCACTCCCATGACAGGTGTCTGCATCCTGGTTGTTCCATTGGCATCTAATTCACTTGGAAATGGAGACTTACATTTTCTGCTAGTGGTCAAGTCTATGACTATGGCTGCAGATACAGGGCCAGGAACCACAGAATCTAGAGAAGCTATTTTGAGCCCATCCTCCATCCTCAGTTTCTCCACCCAAAGGCCCACTAAAGCTCCATGTCTCTTGTCTGCAGCTACAAGTGGCACTGACCTGTCGTCCAGACATTGTTCAGTGGGGTCCCGGAGTTCCTGCAGGCTCTCTTTTTGAATGTCATTTTCTACCATCTCACACTTCATCGGGCTGCAAGGCACAAGTGTCTTTTTATCCTCCATAGTCTTCTGGCCTGTGAGAGATGAGATAGAGTTTCTCTTGACATTTTGACTGCTGCCAAAGAGTGGATCTTTTTGGTGCTCAGGGGTCTTGCCAATCTCTATCAATTTAGGAGAGGTAAGAGACAATATCGTTTTTGTGGATCTGGAAATGTTTTTTTGAGACTTCTTTGAGGAGGCCCTGCATCTCCTGGTCAGTTTGCTTACTCTCTTCTTTTTAGTATGATGTCTATTGAAAGCTCGGGTGAAATCCTTACAATTTTTGAGGTGCAGCACTGGCTCCCATGTGTCTTCCTCACTGCCATAGTCCTTCCATTGAACCAAATACTCAGTTTTACCCTTTTCATTTTTCCTTTTGTCAATAATTTTCTCAATCTAGGAAGCAAAAGGAAAACATTATCATTGAGAAGTTAAATTCAACAGAATTGTTTCCTTACCTGAACAGAAGACAGTAATTTCCCACTCTTCTCTAAAATTTAACTTGGATATGGATTTTTGATCCAACACAAGTACAAAGATAATTAGGACGAGATCATAAGCAACAAATGTAGGTTTCCTGTTACATGACCCACAGGCTATTACTAAATGCTCTGAGACAAGTTGCTTTGACAAATATATTTACAACATTCTGTCTTTCCATGTGTAAATTTTTAAGTATGAACCTGAAATTCAAATTAGAATTTTCTAACCTAGTTTTAAAAATTGTATCTACTTAATCACTATAAATCACTTAGAATAGAAATTGAATGTACCCAACATGAATAAGCGTCACACAGGTCCTGATGATGGTACAAAACACATTATCATTAACAGTAATGGTCCAATTCTGAGTCCCATAAAAATCTTTCCTCTTGATTTTTTTTATTAATTTCATTCCTGACTTTCAGCCTTTTATCTTACCCACTTCCCACACTCTTTTTACTATTTACAACCATTTTCAATGGTTCTTTGTCCTCTAATCTTACTTTCACCACCATTGAGTATGGACAGTTGGTAAATGCAGAAGTGAATACAGGGAATGTTTCTCATTTATGGACTGACTTGCTTCGCTTGAATGTAAATATAAATATAATTTTTCCCGATTTTTCATCAGTGTTTTTTTTTAACAGAAGTGTGATATTTTGTAAAATATACATTCCTTGCTTTTCCAATCCATTCGTCTATCCATCAGCACTTGGGTTGGTTCCATTTCTTACCAATTGTAAATAATGCTGCAATAAACATGGATATGAAAGGACTTTTCTGTTGTAAACTTTTCTATCCTTTGTTTAGATGCCCAGGAGAGGAATTACTGAATCACATGGTAGTATCCTTTGCAGGTTTTAGGAACCTCTATATCTCCACCGTTTATAAACCAATATATCTTCAAAATACCAATGAAAGATAGTTTCACTTTTACCACAGCATAACCACCACTTATTCTTTATTGTCTGTCTTTGTTTGAATATTCACCATGCTGTCTGGGATTAAATATCTCATTGTGAGATTGACCCATATCTCCCTTAGTAAGAAGAATATTTAGCATTTTTCCTATGCATCTAGTACTCCTAGAGATTTTATATTTTTTTGCTTTGGAAATGGTGAGAGGGAGGAAATCAATCACATAAAAGGAAACTATTTAATAGATAGTAGAATAAAAAGTTATCTCATTACAATAATGTGTATGGTAATAACCTTGAACAAGTACAGTGTGTATCATAGTAAAAAAACTCATTTTGTATGTTTCAGTGATTAGCAGAGATGATATATAATAATAATAATGATAATAATTTTTAAGAGTGTAAGGAGAGGCTAAAGAACACTACATGCCATGAAAAGAATGAAACCACCCAGGATATGTTATAATAATATGTATCTGTGCACCAATATAGATCAGCCACATAGTTGGATAAAAAACTGTGAGGTCTATAAATATATATACAGTGCAATATGTTATTTATTACAGATCTCAACCCACCACTGTTTCCCGAACAAATTATCTAGACTAAATAGATACATTAATTAATGGATAAATAAGCAGAGGTATGGGATCTAACTGAAACCATAAATCAAGTGGACTTGACTGGCATCTATAGAACATTTCACTCAACCACAATAAAGCATATATTGTTCTCACCCTCCACTGAAATATTTTCAAATATTGACCAAAAGATAGAGCACAAAAAAAAGGCCTTAAGCATGCAGAGTTATAGAAGCTGTATCCAGCATCATGTATGACATTAATAAAATATTTGGAACTATCACCTGAGGGAGTTTTCAATATGCACATGCAAATAGAAACTAAATTAATCTCCTCCTCAATGACATCACAATCAGTAAGGATATTAAGGTAAAAATCAAAAGATTCTTTGAAAGAAATGGTAAAGAAGACAGATGTGGCATATTCTGTGGAACACAGCAACAGCGATCATTAGAGGGAGTTTTACTTCATAACTAATAGTACCTGTTAAAAATTAAAAAAAAAGAAAACTGAGGCAAAGAGCCTAACAACACACCTCAGGGAATTGAATAACATCAACCAACACCCTACAAAAACTATAAGGTGAAAAATCAATAATAAAGACTGTGATGTGAAAAAATAAAAGAAATACTAAAAGATCCATATAGAAAATAGTGACCTCCCAAAACTGTTTGAGAACTTAATTCATATTGACATATTACTGAACTAATTAAGAGCACCAAAAGAAATTAAAGAAAACAAATAAGTGAGGAAATAATCAATAATACAATAGATTCAAAAGATCATGATGGAATATTGTGAGTAATTATAAGACAACCTACAAGAAAATCTGAAAGGGTTGTACAAATTTCTGAACACACATATTTTATCAAGATTTGACATAGGAGAAATTAAAAGCCTGAATATACCAATAATAAGCACTGAAATCAATTATGGAGAAACACTCTCCCATAAAAAGAAAACCCCAAGTCCCAATGACTTCACTTCCCAATCCTGCAAAACTTTAAATTATATATATAATTATATATATTATATGTATTGTATATATTTATATATATAATATAATTACAATATATATTATAATTATATAATACATATATAATACAATAATTATATATAATTTTATATATTATATATTAT